GAATCAAGGGGTATGCAAGTGTGCGAGGAAGCTCTAAAAGTACTTAGGGTAAGCGAAATAAAAATTTTTGAAAATTGTCAATTTGATGTTTCCAACTTGCACGAGTTATAAATTTTCTTATTTACATTCTCGTCGTATATTCTTTGAGAAAAATCTTTAGAAAAAGAAATTTAAAATCCAATCGATCATTTTTTTTTCAAAATGAAATTCTTGTAGAACTCGAGGCGGCGGCCGGTACGCGCGGTGCTGCACGTATCAGGAGACGGTTTGCGGGTGGTTGAAGATGAGACAAAAGGGCTGATCGTCGATCAGACGATAGAGAAAGTTTCCTTTTGTGCTCCGGATCGAAATCACGAGAAAGGGTTCAGTTACATCTGTAGAGACGGCACGACCAGACGATGGATGTGCCATGGATTTTTGGCATTGAAAGAATCGGTTCGTGTTGTTGATAAAATTTCTTTGATAGAAAAACTCGTTGGCTCGATTATTTTTTTTAATATTATTTTTTTTCTTTTTTTTTTTTTTTTTTTGTAATTGATGTTTCAATAATGATTGTGATGATTGTACACTACGATCTGTAAGTACAAATCTGTACACCATAATTTTTTTTTTTTTACAGAATTATATGTAATCTATAATTTTCAAATTAATTTTTCTCCTTTAATATGGAACATTATAATTCTTTAAATCGCATTCTTTCTTTGCATCTATGTAATTTTTACGGTGTTAACGCTTAATATTCATCGTGTTCATTTAGGGAGAACGCTTGAGTCATGCAGTGGGATGTGCTTTTGCTGCGTGTCTGGAAAGAAAGCAACGAAGGGACAAGGAATGCGGTGTCACGATGACGTTCGATTCGAAAACTTCAACCTTCACGAGGAGCGGCAGTTTCAGGCAGCCATCTTTAACCGAGCGATTGCAGGATTCGCGCGAACGCGCCGTAGGTCAGTGACTTTTCTCCCCTAATGTACCTGTGAAGCAAATTATTAACATTCCAACGAATCTATAATCTGTCCTTAAAATATAATGAAAATAAATCAATATAAAGAAATGTAAATATATATTTTTTAAAATATCAGACTTGAAATTTTTGAAATATAAATTATTTTTTTAATCTTTAACTTTCTTGCTTTTCTATGATTTTATTTTTATAAAAATCTTATGTATAGAAAAAATTAAATGTCATCAGAAAATTGTATTAAATGTTAATAATAAAAATAATTAAGGTGATCATAATTAATTCATTTGTGAAAAATTTTTCAAAGATTGGTTTCAACACATAGAAAAAGATTTTTTAGACGTATTATAGAAGTATATTTCTTACAATCAAATGTTTTTTTTTTTTTTTTTTTTACAGATGTACCACCTATAAAGCAAGTCTACAATCCTTTT